GGCAAAGAAGGAAGAAGGCAGAAAGGTTAGTTATCAAGACAGATCCGAGGTATGTGATGGTAGAAGTTTCTTAACTGCTCGAAATGCAAGGAATGGTAATTTGGATTCGAGCAAACAGAGGTTAATGGGTGCAGTGAATATGAATAAAGACGAAACAGGTTTGACTGTATGGAATGAAGCATATGTTCGGAACCCTTCGCGTAGGGTAAATTATTCGACACGACCTAGAGCTGATCCTAGGAAAACTAGCGTAAACAGTTACACAGCACTTCATGTTGCTGCGCGATCAGGATGTCTGCGGGCTACTGTATCTAGTTCTACGGAGTATCATAATATTGAAGCGGAAGATAATAGCAGCTTAGCGCGTCCTGCTGATGTTTGTTTTCAGCCAACGGATGGACGGTCGCATACTAGTCCAAGCAGTCATAGCAACATTGATAGCGTTAGTATAAGTGGCAGCAGTGGTAGCTTAGCTTTAAAGCCTGCATGCCAACTATCTCGCAACTCGTCATTAACTGTGAATAGTCAGGACATCATTGTGGACAACAATAACGTCAAGGTGGAGGTGAAACCTCATGTGTCTATCGATAGTGTGGTTGATGTGAATAATAAACGTGATGGTAACGATAGTGGAATCACTATAGGTAGTGCTGTTCCTTCGGTTGCTGTTACTAATGTAGCTTCTTTGAGTACTTCGAATCAAGACGAAGTTGGATGTTTGAGCGTGGAGAATGTAGCCGTCGGTGGCAATAGCGTCAGCCACAGTGATAACACTACTGAGAGGGCTGACATTCGGTACCCTAGGTGCAATGGGGAGTCATCTAAGCTTAATGGACATGCTGTTGTGTTGAATATGCAGCATGAGGAATTGAGCATGGAATTGTCGCACTCCACCATCTTTGACTTATACTACAAGTATCGGGATGAGCACTACCAACAGTGATAAAACAGAAGAGGTTTAGAGCATTCCTGGTAAGGAAAGCAATGTTGATCGAGTAGAGTTGGACACTGTGCATGAGTCGAATGGATGTCATGGAAAGATGACTGCTACTTGTACAGCTGCGGCTACTAATGATAATAGCATTGGTAATGCTCCTGCGGGTAATAGTGATCAAGGGAAGCTGAAAGACACTAATCGATATGATTACATTACATTACGCTCACATACTGCTACCCAAGGTGAGAAGCATAAGAAACGACATGATGCTACTATTATTAAGAAGCGTAAACTTCGCTCTCTTTCGGATGCTGTGATTAGAAATGGAGATAGTGGTCATCAGAATAGTAGTATTGGCAGCGATAGTAAAGAAACAGAAAGTGTGAGCAATCCATCTATAGTGACTAGTCGATCAACTTCATCGAATGATCCCTCTAGTGTTTTATTGTCATTGAAACTTGTCGCAAATGTTAAGTTGATGGAAGATGCACAAGGTTGTGCAACTGTAACTGTTCCTACTCCGGTTGACTGTCAGTCGAGTATTGATGAGAAGGAAGCGTCTGATTGTAACAGCCAGTATACAGTTTTGCATGATAACGATGCTGTTGATGTGCATATGTCTTGTGTCTCTGAAACGGAACATGAAGAACAACAAGTGAGTTTATCGGTACTAATGCTGTTATTTCATGTAGCGAGATGAGTTATACAACAATGGAAGAGTTTCACTCTATGGATGCTAGTGTAGCCGGAAACAACGTGACTTGTCTGACAGAACGGAAACATGATGACGATGATAATAATCTGGGTGTCACTGATGTGACAAATGAGTTGTCGACGATGACGAATGCTGATCAAACCTCTGTACCAGCAGATGGAGAGTTAAATGTTGTTCCTGTTTTATGCCACTTAGAGTCTTCAGGAGACGAGGAAATATCAAAATTGGAGATCCCATCCTTGCATATTATCTGTGGGTCAAGAACTTGTGAGCGAATACAGATACCAGATTGACTATGCTTACGACTAAATGTTCCATACGGGGCCGTCATCATAGTAAAACAAAATAAATCCATATTCCATGGTTTTATTGAAGGAGAACGTTGGCATTACATGAGGAGCAGCAAATAGATAAAGATGGCAGCAACGCGAAGTGAACGTTGCGCGTAAGAAGTAGTAGGAGTGTTTTTGGTACAGTTAAACAAAACGAGTACAATAATGTTTACATTTCAAAAATCGCATTTTCTTCGTAGAAGCGTCCCACTACAAACTTTTGTTGATAAGACAGCATCAGGGACTTCATCGTATCTGCCGTTCGGAGCAAGTGGTGGTGGATTGACGACTCATCCCCATAGTGTGGAATGTAAATCCCGGATAGGATATAACCAGCTTTACGACGTGTTATACATGTTCTTGTGGGTTAATTGGATAAAGTTTTTACTACCGTTAGGTCATGCTACGATAGATAGGGGAATCAAGGACCTGATGAGAAGGTACAGGTACATAGTTAGCTTGATAGATCATATCCATGTTGGAGGGCGGGTAGGCGTACTGCTGTAAGTCCTACTCGTTCTTCCGGTGTGGATTAGGGGATGAGAGTGAACCCCAAAATGAAGTGTCAGAAAGGGATTGTTTTGCATGGAGGGATTTTGCGGGCCGGCGTAGAATCTATTTTGAATGTTTTGTTTTTGGAAAATCCCTCCATGTATATATAATTGTGTTATGATATGACTGACTCTTTCTGTTGATATTTTGGTACTCTATTTGATTCCATTTTGAGATTTTTATCATTGTATATTGTTATTATTTCTATATCTTGTGCTTATATTGACGTTTTTATGTTTCCTTATGAACTGTACATATGTTGTTTAAATTTGATATTTAATATGGCTACAGCCATTTTTGGATTGATGCTCTAACAGTAACGGACTGGAAGCACTTATTCTTCCAGAAACGGAACCCATTGTGGTAATTGGAAACTCGAAGGTGTAATAGTGTTTTTGGTAATTGTCTGTATTTCCCTCTTTAATATAAATAGAACCGTTTTCTCCCAGAATTATCGACTTTTGGTCCCGGACTGGGTGAGACACGTATGAAACTGCACTTCTCGAGTTGGAACGTTAACGACGTCATTACAGCTCTAGTGTTCTTTTCTAGACGTCTTTCACCAGCTCAGACTCGCCATTATACCTTTAAGCGTGAATAGCTAGCTATGCTCGACAGTAAGAATATATTTCCCAGTTTACAACGGGCGTTCGGTCCAAGAGACACTAACGTCACAGAAAATGAGTCATCACAACGGATACCAACACTCTAACACAGCAGTAATATATAAAACCCGTTATCATGACTAAATCACGAGAAGACGAAGTTGACTTGACTTGACTCCATACTTGAACCTCTACCGATTTCTAGCGCCAGTTTTTTTACCGTCAGTGCCACGAAGTGGTAAGCATGAAACCTTATACAATACCGGCGCAGCAAATTTCAATGATATGGTTGGTTCGCTAGACAACGCGTGCACTTAAACATCACGAGCTCCTCTGACCACTCAACTCCACACTTCTTTTCTACCTCTGTACACAGATTGACGAGATAGGCCATCCCATGTCTCATAAAAGATATGTGTGCAGAGTTCTTAGCCTCTATATTTTGAACCTTTGGATATCAAATTATGGTGTATAACCAACCATCACTACGGACTATGGTTCACAGATTCAATCTATTCCGTTCCACGGATTCACCATACTCTTAGGATTAAATCGCATAAAAACAACAGCCTAGCACTCATTATTAAGTGACTGGGGTGAAAAATTCTACCGTTAATAAAAAGCTCGTGAAAGCAAAGGGCTGAAACAACATATCGGACTGGCGCTTTAGTTCTTCGCCTCCTTCCTCAATGTAAGAAATTTCACACAAATATGCAGTCCAAAATATGACGGCCCACTCTTTACGTGTTATGACTCTGTACAGCAACATCATTCACTCCAGAAGAACATCTAGAAGTCTAAGTATCCTATGATCGAATGTCTAATGCTAGCTGACAAAAATTCCTCTTCAGCTAGCCTTGCACCATAACACTGAGGTGCATTTTCGGTCAGCTTGAGAGTAGAACGTTCCACACTTTTTAACAGCTTTATTCGCCCCCATCTAGGTTATAGAAATGTAGTGTTTCCGCCCTCACTCTAAAATGATAAACATATGGTAGAACAAATTTAAAAGTTAGCAATAAAATCAGTTCGAGTACTGAAATTAAAACCTTGTGTAGAGCGCCTCGAATCACTTAATCTTTATTCATTAGGGTATCAGCGTCTCGAAAGGGACCTTTCACTGACGTAAATAACTTTAAACACTCTTGGGAATTCCACAAAATACTTCCTCAAGCTCAGTCTGAATACAAAACTCAGGGCCAGCTACAGACCTAAAGTAGTCTAATAAACTGTAGACACACAACTCCTTACGAGTAGTCGATTTCTGAAATTCGTGGCCGAATAAGGTAGTCCAAATGATTTTACAGGAGAGCTCAAGGATAGAGCGCTACATATTCTTATGGACTCATGACAATACTTCTCTTTCGATCGATTATTATACCTCAGTGCCTACCATAAGGTTCGAGTGATCCACTGTTACCATATACGGAAATATGTAAAACAAAACCTTATTCTCGTAGTGGTTTACGTGCAGTCAGTAGATGCCCCATGTACTACGGGAGTATACAGAGCAGCATGAGTGGGGAGAACCAGATAGGAGACGATCGAATGAAATAAGCCGAGGAAACCGCAAGAGCACAAAATGCATCTACATTTAATAAGCATGTAAACATAAAAGTCCGCGTCGCAAGCATCAGGTTAGGAGAATCTAAAAGGAGACACTATGAGAGAATAGCGTGAAATTTTTTACCCACTACACTTCTATTCCTTTCAGAAACATTTGAACCATTTGAACACAGTGGTCACTCTAACTCAAAGGTGTCGTGTATTTGAGGTTTGATACATCTTCCTAATATTAGATTAATTATAAGTCTTTCATAAATGGTTAGAAGTCTCTGTAATTCTGTACCATCTCAACCAAGAAGTGCGCGCAATCTGTTGTCCACGTTACGTTATCGACGTGTGAAGTTGTAAGTTTTCCCATGTCATTGTGATGTGAAATGTGGCATTCCGTTCGTAAAGTTTATATTCCAAGCTGATGAAAAACTCGCTCTGGTTAAAAATTGAATACTTAGTCTTCTTATTACTGTTATCTCCATAATTATTGAAGTTAAACGTTAACGTTTGTATGCACTTCATAAGATATCAAATAAGAATTAAGATTAGGTAGTTCATAATAACTGATGAACACAATCTTTGGATCGTTCTTTCCTGCAATGTGTACCTGGACTATAAATATATTTATAAACTAGAAATAGTGTTTAGCACTATTGACAGTAGGCCGATGAACCTGTGACAATCCTTGCAGCTTGTATACTAGTGAAAATCCACATCCACCTGTAAGTTTCGGCTAATGGAGCTAATATCACCTGTTCAGGCTAATGTTTCGGACATTGAAAGATGGAATTCTACACTGTTTATACAATCTCGGTTTTTAGACCTTTGAAAATGATTATTTCTGGAGGAAGCAAAAAGATGAAATATGTTAGCCATCAAATCTTTATTCAAGATATGGAATACCAACAGTCCGCTATCACCAACACTAAGCTTGGGATTAATTTGTCACGGCCTCTTACCATAATACATTGGCGCGACGAAATGTAATCGCAAGATACTTATAAAAAATGGCCACAATATTTTGGTAGCTATAATAATGAAATAAATAGAATGTCGAGAATATTATTCAAGAGAACTGAAAAGATATGTTTGAAATACTACTGGGGCTCAACAAGTTACTTGATTGCCTGTTGATGTGCGAGTCCACTGTACATCAGTATGTTCCGTTTCACTTAACTCATATTCATCGTACACGTTTTAGTTAAGGTATTAAATCGATATGTCAGATACCATAACTTTTCCAGTTCGTCAAGCGCTAAAAGATAACGATGAACGTCGAAGCAGCATTGTGAGCGAACATAAAAGACATTACCAAAAGTTCAGGACATTTGTTTTCTGGCTTAAACTTGATGATTGATAGCTCTATGTACAATGTAATTTGTGTTGTAGTAAAGCGTAGTACCAGTTTCCCAGTTCTCGGACAGTATCATTAAACAAATATGGCATATCTTCAGAGAAATCACAAAAACAATGAAACCACGATAATGATTCTAAACTAGTCCCAACCTGACCAAATCACACATCGTGGAAAAGTGACCGTGTGAAAAAAAAACGAACAGAGTAAACAGTGTACTTGTAATACTATCTCAGGTCCTGATTCAAGCACATCTTAAGGCATTAGTTTCAGTTCTGTTGGATACGTGTTTATACTTATTCAGCTACTCGCCTCTGATTAAAAATGAATCTTTCCATCCTACTTACCTAGCCAAATTATATAATACCTCAGGTCAGTTTTTGAATCTCTATTATTACTCAGCTATCCAACATGTGCATTTGGAACTTTATCTGTCTGTTCAGTTTTTCCCGTCAAGTTTTTTCATTCATAGTGTCATATGGGGTCTCTTTGGTTGTGTATCAACAACTAGTTATTTTGTGCGAACAACAAACAAAACCTTTCTAATGTTTTTGGGCGATATTCAATACTTTGTTTCTTTTTTTTAAAAGGCTAGTTCAAAAAGTATGGCTAGCGACCAAATATGCTATACTTTAGTCAGTTTATCATCTGAGGGAAAGGTTTATACTGAGCAAAAACTTAAAGAAGATTTGCAAAACAGCAATGATAATGTGAAAAGAAGGGCGCTAGAAGAACTTATTCGGCTAATTATCAATGGCGAAAAGTTCCCCAATTTATTAATGATTGTGATCCGCTTTGTTATGCCGTCACAGGACCACATGATTAAAAAACTGTTGCTTTTATTCTGGGAAGTTGTGCCGAAGTACAATCCAGATGGGAAACTCCTTCACGAAATGATACTTGTGTGTGATGCTTACCGCAAAGATTTACAGCATCCTAATGAATTCATTCGTGGGTCAACTTTACGATTTCTATGTAAATTAAAAGAACCTGAACTACTGGAACCTATTATGCCATCTATTCAACAGTGTCTGGAGCATCGACATGCCTATGTACGACGAAATGCAGTGCTTGCAATTTTTACGATATACAAAAATTTCGAATCACTTATTCCGGATGCACCTGAAAAAATTTTACGATTCCTCGAACAAGAGCAAGATTCTTCCTGCAAAAGAAATGCTTTTATGATGCTGCTTCATGTCAGTCAGAGTAGTGCTCTTGACTACCTTACTTCTCGTTTAGATGAAGTACAGAATTTCGGTGATATTCTTCAACTTGTAGTTGTAGAGTTAATTTACAAAGTAAGTCTATACATATATAGTTCTTTTTACTCTCTAGGTTTGTCTCGCTAAACCATCTGAAAGGTTACGATTTATCCGTTGTATTTACAGCCTATTACAATCTAGTAGTGCTGCTGTACGCTATGAAGCCGCGGGAACGCTGACAACACTAAGTTCCGCTCCGAGTGCCATTAAAGCAGCTGCAAGCTGTTATATCAATCTAATCTTAAAAGAAAGTGATAATAATGTAAAACTAATCGTATTGTCACGTCTCACTGACTTACGTCAGTATCACGAGCGTATTCTACAAGACCTTATTATGGATATGGTGCAAATCATAAGTGAGTTTGTTGCTTTTCCTCGTGTATTACTCTTTTCTCATTATAGATGCATCTGATATGGAAGTTCGTCAGAAGACACTTAACTTAACAATGGATTTGGTGACAGCTCGCACAGCAGAAGAATTAATTAAGATATTCCGTAAAGAACTTATCAAAGTTTGCAGCACGAATACCCGACCCTCAACTAATGATGGAGAAAAGTCACCTGGGGATGATCAAAATTCTGATGAATCTATTTACCGTTTTTCGTTAGTACACACTATATATGATATCTGCTTACGGTTTCCAGAAGTATTACCAATCATCGTTCCGACAATTTGTGAAGTAAATATTATTTGACTCAACAAAATAGTTGGTTGTCTTTTCTTGGCATGTTTTTATGCTAGCAAAATGCAGCTGTATAATATAAGTTTGACTACTCAGTTCGTTTCACTTTCCTACCTAACAGTTCGACCCCGAAACAGTGAATCTAACAACACCACTGCGACTAGATGTGAGCGATGTCACATCAGTCTGTCAACTTAGAACTTAGCATAAATATGTACAGATATAAGTTATCACACCGCACATTCATACAAGCCCCAACCGTGGTTACTGTTTTCTAGTTGGATTCCATAAGATAATCAATGATAAGTAAAATCAACCCATTATAGGTGGTTTAAATATTTCTTCTAGTAGTGAAAATCCTGTTGCATTTTACCCTTCATTCTCTGACTCCCTCTGTTTCATTTGCCGTTTTTATTATTTCTGATGTTCCACTGCTGTTAACGTTATTCTCTTTGCTTCGCTCACCCTCTTGTTAACTTTTGTCATTCTGTTATGAATTGTGGCAACTTCGATTCACACATTTTTGTGATACGCTGTTTATATTCAATTTTACTTTGTAAAGGTTTACTTTATAAAACTTTATCACTGCAATTTCTTGGTTGATATTACCTAGTTAATCAGTCGGTCACAAACCTTGTAAAATCTGGTATAAATGGTTATAATCGAAGATGCAACACCTCATGTTTAGACAGAATTAAAAACAAGATTTACCTATTTTTTATGTAGTTTCTAGTTTAAGCTCCCGAGTTAATAAATACTTGTCTCAGGAGTGGTCGTTAGACATAAGCTTTTATTATTGATGTACTCAGATTGTTTCACTTACCTCTAATCGGACTAAAAAAGATATATAACTATTTCGTGCTTACCGAAATTAGTTAAAATCTGCTAATCAAATCCATAATTACTTTTTACATGAGAAAGTTCTGATACAACTAGTTGAGTCTAGTTGGTTGATTTTTATGGTTACAACAAGCGAGGTTATCTAAATGCCGTAAGCCGGTTAAGGAGCTTTAAGAAGCAGTAAAAATTATTGGTCTCACGGCAGATTAATCTGAATAACTGACTTTTCAATGTTTTGATTGGGTGCCTATGAAGCACGTTCTGTGGTTGTAATATAAGTGAACACAAACTCAAATCCTTCAAATAATTTCACAGTCCATTAAATTATCATATAGAGATTTTTTTCGTCTGATCACAAATGCATTTATTTTTAATTCTTAAGATCTTAACTTACGAAGAAATGAACGATACACGAGCTGCTAATGAAGCCTGCAAATTTTTACGTGAAATCTTAGAGCGATTTCCTCAAAAAAAGGCTGATATTTTAGAAAAACTGATGCAAGTTTTTCCATCCATTATCGGCCGTGAAACTCTTCAACATTTATTATGGATTTTCGGCGAATATTGTACTACTTACGAAGAAATCAACTCTTTTATGACTCTTATTCGTCAAGTAAGTTTGACTTGTTAAACTGCTCTCAGATCATTTATTTTTAGGAAACCCAGTAAGTTCTTTGATTAGAATATCATTATCAACAATAATCTTATAAGTCAGTTATACCCTTTACTTAGTTGCGCTTTAGCATTCAGTATTATTCTCAGAGCGCTTTGTTAGATTATCATCAACCGATCTTGTGAACTAAATGCTGGTTCAAAAATGAATCGTGGGTTGACCAAAATAAACTTTTCACAAAAGTGTTGATTAGAGTGCTATTTGACTGGTATCAATGAATTAGTGGTTATAATGGGCTTGGATATCAACTAATAGATTTTAGTTCTTTAAATTTGTATCAGTTATTTCACGTTGAGCAGCCGAGCAGTATCACTAGCCCTTAAACGAAGTTTAAATCAGAGTCTAGTACAATCGACTTATGCTTAATAAATGAGTTGCATTAAATTAAAATCTAGTGGAATCTGGAAAAGCTTGTACACTGGAACCATCTTGATCGTTACTATACATGTCAACTGTGATATCTCTAAACATTGACTGTGTTTCAAGGTTTTTACTCAAACGTTATAAAGTTTTCTGCATATTATAGCAACACTTGTAGTCTCCTGGACTAACCAAACATAACTCCAAATGACCCGTACGGCCGAGAGTGAAGGAAGTTCACTCTCCCTCCCGAAACGCTCTCATATGGCCACGTGTACATAGCCACTACCAGGGAAATCCTACTCACTGCTTTCTCGTGGCGGGAGTGTTGTTTAGGAAATTGGTCTTGAAGGAACAAATGTCGTGTAAACGTATTGTTGGTCACTGGCTACCATGGGACTGCGTGGCGTATAAATATTTAGGTGTCCATTTGTACCAATTTTTGTATTTGAATTAGTGAATAAACCAGAAAATATTTTAAAAACTCACAAGCACAATGTTTGGTGGCATTTTAAGAGGTTGTAAGCTAATTAACTCGTTTATTTGTAACACGAATTTAGTACAGATGGCTTGATAGTGGACCTATTGTTGATTCGAAATCTAGCTCATTTAACATTTGCATGAACTAGTCAATTTACTAATATAAAATAGTAGTTTTTCAAATAGATGAACATGAAATGATATTTTGGCTTTTTCTTGAATATGGTCAGAATCCAGTCGCATACTCCAAAACGGTAGATGGTTCCGTTAACACCTACACCATTTATAACCGAATATGGTAAGATCTTGAAATGATGGACTTTCATTGCGTAGAAAAGATTACCGATCGACACTAGATAGTAACTGTCAAATGTCGATACTGGTTAAGAAAACTTGTAATCTGCACATTATTGCAGTGAATCATTATTGTCATTGAATTTGTGACTAACAAGTCTTATATGATGGTATCGAAATGTTTAAAGGTCACATTTTGGTCTTCACATCACACTAGCATATTACTCAGTAATAACATTCAAATGGCATTCCTTGAGAACTGCACAGATATAAATAAGTTGCAAAATATTATCGCTTGTCTTCCCATTTGTTTCTTTCCTCTCGAAGTCCTCTGCAAAGTATACATAAAGTTTACATTTTGAATCGACATACCAAGTGCTTATTTGCAACACAGTACAGTTTTCAGCTAGCTCTCATTGGTAGATTTCCCAAGTATACTGACCGAAATATGTGTTGTTCGCTCTGCATCAACGTGTAAACGTTGTGGATAATAAATTTATTTTGATTATGCATCTTTAAAAGAAATGACAGTTTTGACTGAACATTTCTTTAATAGCTCAAAGGGGTTCAGGTTACTTATTCCATGAAATGAAATAAATGAGTTCATAGCCAGAATATATTGCGCATAAGCTAAGGAAGTTAATGAACAGAATTGTGCTGATATACGGGATGTGCATTACCCTACAGTATCTCAAACAGAAAATGAGATTCTTCTCACTTGGTCTAGAAATAAGGTCAAATCAAAACGATTTCCTAGATTTCAAGATTAGAACTTTTTAAATCATGAATCGACCAAAGTTAGATCACCATTAGAAATCTGGAAGCCCTGACGGTCGTTTCGTCCTGGTATGGGACTCATCAGCAGTGCGCATCCACAACTCCTGAACCTCGCAGAATTCGAACCCAGGACCTTTGATCTTGCGCACAAACACCTAACCTCTGCACCAATGAGCCGGTATCTAACGGTGTTATTGTGTAACCTGAGTCAATCCTCGGAGTTGCGCAACCTCATACACTGTCTTCGGTAGTTACTGTTTACACCCAAACAGGTTGAACTTCACTGGTCACGACTTCCTACTCAGTGCTTCCAGGTTCCTAATGGTGGTCTAACTTTGATCGATTCATGATTTCAAATGTGTAACTTAACAATCTTCACAACCCCGTAAGATTAGAACTGTCATGCGAATCAGTTCCCTAGACAAAGCGCTCCATTGTTGATGGCCATTCGTATTCCAGGTTACTAACACTTACATGTGCAACGAAATATTCACAACTTAATCCCTTCGGAAATTTATCCTAATATTAACAAAAATTACTGCAAAAGCTCCATAATCGAATCTCTAAATATTATAATTATTTTTGTTAAATTCTGTACTCACTTAACTCACTTTTGTCTATAATTTTATCAAGATTATCGGCGAGCTTCCGCTTGTTGATGAGGAGTTACGCAGACAGGCCAGTAAAGTGAATTCAGTGGATTCATCAGCTGAAAATCAAAGCCAGCCCTCGGTACTAATTTCAGGTGATGTAAATGTCGGTGTCAGTCCAGCACAACGCGTTACTGCAGATGGGACATACGCAACTCAGTCTGCTCTTACCCTTCGTAGGTTACGTAATTCAACATATTTGTTTTCAGAACATAATATATTTAACTACATGTTTTCATGTCTCAAATGGCATTGGCTGTAATTAGAACTACAAAATTCCGGCATGGTGTATTTAAAAGTTTCATTAAAAATGCTATTTTTTATGTTATTGCCTACCGTAAAACTCATCAGCTAAGTCTCAACTTACTGGGCTAAAATTATCTTGGAGATATTGGTCTGTTCGAGTTGACTCAGATACCAAAAACAAGATGGTACGCAAAAATGTGAGGAAAAGAAAACCAGCAAGTTCGATTGGTGTAATTGATACGTTAGAACTTCAACCTAAGTTGCTGTGCGTTAAAACTATAATTGAATATAAACGTCACTCCGTCTCTGAACATTATGAAAATGAATATACTATACGACATATTTACATCGTGTAGCAAAGGTCATGCAAATACTCGTGAAGTCCTACCGCTCTATAAACGCCAATCGGAGGATATTCGTATTAATTATATTAGCTGCCGATTTTAATACACATTATAGAATGCTTAGTATTGATGTGACTCATTTACCAAGAACGTGTTTATCAGCCCGTCTTTAATAAGCGCTCTGTGTAAAATAATGATAATACCCGAATCCCTAAATTGAAATAGATGAAATGATGTTAGATCGTCAGACAAATATCATCACAGAGCCTATAACAGATATGTGTTTACTTAAGTTATCACATCACATCACAACGAGATAAAAATAACAAGATGAACACATGATTTGTTGTTGGTTAAAAGCAGAGTTCTTCAGCCACTAATGTGACAGTCTTAAATATAGGATTAATATTTGTTGTCTCATTACGACTCTCTGGATAGGATTCAGAAGTTTATTCTACAGCTACAGAGCATAATTCCTAAGGGTTTCAAATGTTTGTTCAAATGCCTTCGCGTCATTGTTCTTGTACAATGTAACAACCACTATACTTTTGTGCGTTGTGGATGAGTGGTCTGTCAAACAAGATTGAGGCCATCTGTTGCTGCGCAAATGCACGATGAGTAATAAACACAAATATGGTTGTTTTTATAAGCCTGTAAGCGGAGTATGTATTTGGCTAGAGTCACCTCATGCATGTCGGGCTGAGAAAGTCCTAGGCAATGTGCTCTGTAACTGAGTTGAACCGTAGGACGTGTCAATAAACAAGCTATCACAAGTTTTGGTTTCTTACTTTTTTTCTAATGAACACAACTCTAGAAACATCATTGGATTATTGAAAATATTTATCTCACAAAATCGCAAAATTATTCGTGTTTGAAGTGATTATCTCTCGATTAGTTGTCCTTATTTCTTTTTTTAAAATTATTTAAGGTTCGAATAAAGATTCTAGCTCAGTAAATGCAATCAAACGACCTGTCCTACAAGCAGCTCTATTTGAATCACATTATATGCCTGGGGTTGTATTATCTGCTTGTTTAGTAAAATTATTTTATCGATATTCATTGATTCTTAAAGAAGAACAAATGAAAGCTGTTACAAATGAAAGCGCAAAAACTAAAATCATTTCAAAAGAAAATTCATTCGCTGCTGAATGTATGCTAATCATCTCGAGTATGATACATTTAGCTACTAGTCGACTGCTTCCACATCAAGTAAATCCTGACCACCTAGATCGTATGTGGATTTGTTTAAAGGTAATCTTTGATTTTATGAATTTTTCCTTTTGACTTTCTCCTGCTTCGTGAACATATGTTAGTTTTAGTTATATAATGATTAATGTATATTGTTATTATTTAACAGCAGAAGTCATGAATAGGTAAAGTCAGTCAGCAGCAACGTAAAACTTTGTACGTACGTACATCAGTTCAAGTCGTCAGACCGCATTAGCATAGATATGCAATTGTCAGTTCAAATCCCATAGTTGTAGACGTGGTAGATGTATTAGTGGTCATGAAGAAGATTAGTATTCGGAGATATTATTCAAAAAGTATAATCCAGTGAAATAAATTTACAAAGAGGAAGATTAAGGTGAAGAGAAATTCAGAAGACTAGACTTTGAGAGAAGACAAAGAATGGGTACATCTGCTCTATTACAAACAATTTTGAGTTATATCATTCAAAGTCTCAAATCATCAGTTACTATGGTCTCATGGACCTCAATCAGGTAGTTTACACCTACCAACACGACTCAGTCCAGTTGTCAGTGACTTGATGGATTTGTGGGATGCCTTGGTTTGGCTACCTCTAGCTTTCTTTCAGTCTATCCCTACGTCAGACAACTTCACCCGTCGAGGCATACGTAACACATATCCCGACAGCCTCAACTGGCGAAAATACACTGCTTAGTCAATTTATCTACCACTCTTACCTACTACCCGTCTCTTAACAACAGTATTGCTTACTTGGTTGTCCCAGGATATACACGCAATGTTTCTAAGGCACCTATGATCGAATACTAGCAACCTGAGAATATCCTCTAGTCTTATCGGCCATGTTTCACAACCATATATTCGAACGGAGAGAACGGCTGCTTAGTACACTCGTCCTTTGGTTAGTAATACTAAATTTCGGTAACACATTTTCGGAATATGCGTAACCGCTTCATATTAAAACGCTGATTTAGGCTAAGTAAAGATATTATCGATACCATTTTATTAATTCAATATTGAAGGTCGTTCGTTGGAACGAAATCTGACCAGAATAGTATGACGACTATTAATCCGTATTATTTTACTTGTAAATGGAAGGCAGATGTATTAAGTTAATTACTGCTTGTACTCCACTGCTTTAGATGTGACCAGACAGACCAATGGACTTAGTGGTCTGTTGGCGATTCTTGTTGAAATGAATAGATGGTACTATGGTAGCAACTGAAAAAGGCCGGCAAAATCTCTATAATAAGCTATAGTTTTATGTCTTCTGAAATTCTCTTCGGCCAATATTACATTAACAAATGATTTTCGTTTTTACATTTCCATTCGTACAGATCTTGGCTGATCGTCGTCCTGAAGTCTTAAAGGCTTTTGAAAACACATCTCGTAACTGTCTTACGGAAATGCTTACATATCAAGAGACAGAACGGAAAAACAACGCTAAAGCTCGTAATCAAGGCCTAATTGAGCATCAAAAACAATTGGCTGAGTTAAATCGTGCAGACGCACCGATCAGATTTTCTCTACTTACTGGTCAAACTGAGTTCGGTGACACAGTAGATCGTTTTGACTTAACACTTAGTCAAGCACTAGGTGCAGGTGGTAAAGGCAATGCTGGAGATGCGTATTCTACATCTAAGCTTAGTAAGGTAAGTTAATCAAATTTTATTTGATTCGATTTTCCGCATTGATAAATTTAAATAGAGCAAGAACAACAAACGTAACGGAATAAGATGGATTCAATTTATTTCTTGGTTTCTTATCAGCTGCATACAACAACTTAAACATAATAGTATTAATTGTTACAAATATTACAATCTGTGTACATACTTTATGTCATAATATCAGAAACTTTCTCATCTATAAGTATTAATGAACGGTTGTAAATCTGAAAGAATTGCAAAAGGCGTTCAAATAATGTGAAAATTCTAAAAGAAACGATTGATATTGAAAGCTACATATAGATAGTAGTAACTGAAAGGGGACTGCTACGTATTAATAACAAAAAGGACTGATTATTACTTGAAAAATAAGTGAAGTTCAGATAAGACTAAGGAAGTTAAGAAAAATTGATTTTTTGATTTGTAAACAAAAAATTAACACAAAGGTCACCGGAGCAAAATATTGTTGCCAACACTGTCCTTTTGAATACATAAATCAGGTTTACATCTTTTGATAACAATTGCTTTGGCAAAACGTAATAAGTTCGAAAATGTTTATCTGTCAATTTTGAACGATCTTGATCCACTTTCAAGTAGATGACGAGCAATCAAACTTTTAAAAACAAGTTGACTTCTTAGTCTCAACTTTTCAGGAATATGCTCATTGATTCGAACATTTAATCTCCTCTCTGTCCTCCCAATGTATATGCTTCGGTACGTGCATGGAAATCGGTATGCACAATTAGATGTAATGTAAGGTGAGTATTTGTCCACTTTTGAGTGCTTTAGTGAGCACTCTGTTCGATATATCGAGGCCAGTTTTACTGCTGAATATGGCCTTTTCAATGCAGCTCTGGCCCTAAAATCAGTCTCGTCACATAATTCATCACCTTTGAATTCAAGCCGTATAAAAACAGGTTTTTGTTTCCACTATAACACATTCCGTTACTTTCATTCTTTCTATATTTAATGATAAACTTTCATGGATAACCATTATCCTTCAGACACTTGAACAGTGATTGATTCGCTCTCAATTCTATCCTCTGAATGTAATTTTCGCACTTGATTGAACAGTGTTCTAACTAAAGTGCTTTTATAACATGTTTAGATTCAGATCATGCCCTAGTGCGAGCGCGTATTTGTTTGAGGCTTACTGGATGTAGGGAAGACACCATAAGGAAGCCTCTTGGGGTTTTACTTAATGATAATAAAGCTAAGAATATATTCCAGGAGCAACTAGAAAGAGAGTCAGACAACTATGTAAGCGATTCCCATCCGAAAGCAGGATGGAATGATATCCAAAAGGCTGTGGAAACAGCAGTGATAACTGCTAGTAAAGTAAACCATAAGGCTAGAATGAAGCCGTGGATCTCAGTAGTATCCACCGAACTGATGGATGCTCGAAAACTCATCACACCCAGCGCTAAACATGATGAAGAACGAAGTCATACATACAAGCCACACAGAGTTGTATGCATTTAAGTTGCAACTCCATTCGGCTACAGGTTTGATGAACTCTTCTCCAACTACTTCAGTTTGGTTCATACAAAAAGAAACTATGACTCAAAACCGATTTTATAAACTCTAGTTGATAAATTACTCCATGATGTTGTTATTCAAAATTATACACCTTTTTGTTTAATTTTTTTTTATAATTTGTTTTTAGGTTCATCAGTTAACTGGATTTTCGGATCCTGTCTACGCGGAAGCGTACATTAATGTGAATCAATTCGATATTTTGTTAGATGTATTAGTTGTTAATCAAACTAGAGATACACTACAAAATTTAACATTGGAATTGTCTACATTAGGTGATTTACGTTTGGTTGAAAAACCCAGTCCATTAACTATTGCACCTCAAGATTTTGCCAACATCCGAGCAAATATTAAAGTTAGTTTTTATTCAATAGAATGTATAGTTTTTACTATATATTGCATTAAAAATATTATAAAATTACTTCTGGAATATACTTTTAAGACGATCTGTTATTAATTCTCTGATTATTACAACCTAGCTACTCTTAATGCTTAGTATTCTCGGATACCAATTCACTCGAGACGTTCTCCGAAATCAGAGCATGGTTGAACAGGAAATAGATTATATTCCAACAACAAGGTTAGAAGGAAAACAAGGTCCAAATGAAAAAAACGTGTGTGTATAGTTTTCTTACATGAGAAGATTCTGGAATGTTCCCTCAGTGTCGGCTAGCGCTAATTGGATACGAAAGAGCCAATCAGCGTGCAACAACGCAATCATGCTTTCATCCAATCTATGTACAACTAACACGATCACATTGAATTCGTTAATCGTTCTGCACTTAAAGACAGAACGTTTTGGATTTGTCGTGATAAAGTGATCCATTAGCAAAATGAAAAAAAGGCCCAACAGTGATACGATGACTCGCAATTGTGTTGTTTATGATGTGTAGATTATTTAAATATTGGCTCTATTGAATCAATTGAATTTAATAAAAATTTATTTATTCTTTCAGGTTTCATCTACTGAAAATGGTATCATCTTTGGCAATATATCTTATGATGTTCGAGGTTCATCTGGTGAGACGACTTGTATTGTGTTAAATGATATTCATATTGATATTATGGAGTACATTATGCCAGCCACTTGTACACCAAGTGAATTTCGCCAAATGTGGTCTGAATTTGAATGGGAAAATAAGGTGAGTGTCAAACTCACAACAAATTGTTTGAAAGTTGAATGATTATATAGGCTAAATTACCATATCCACATATTCTGTTGAGTCAATTGATTTATGTTGTTAGCTTGTTTCGTTTCAATATATACGTACGCCCAATTATTTGTTTATGCTCTTTGTTATTGTTTTAGGTTACTGTGAATACACAAATCAAAGATCTATCCACCTATTTGTCTCAAATTACAACCCATACGAATTTACGTTGTCTTACACCTACTGAGGCTCTTGCGGGTGATTGTGATTATCTTTGTGTAACGCTTTATGCCAAGACAATATTCGGCGAACATGTTTTGGCTAATTTATGTTTAGAAAAAGCGGAAGCTGATCAACCTGTTACTGGTCACGTACGAATTCGAGCTAAAACACAAGGCATGGCTGTTACAATGGGAGAAAGAGTAAGTTCATTTTAATTTTTACGGTTGTCAATATCTTATACTATAATCTTAAATAAATGTAGTTTAACAAGAGACTATACAGTATGCGTGTTAACAACTCAAGTTTTATATTTTCAGATTGTTTTTTTCCACTTAAGGTGTCTGACTTGATCAACCACTACCAGTCTAATCAGCATCTTTCTACTGTTTGCCCTCCTAAATTAGAAAAAGTACTAATTTCTTTTGCTGTTGATTCCCTATTTTATTACTCATCGGTAGGTAAACAAACAAAACCTATCGCAACCTCAACTATTAATCTAATTCTCATGACCTTTATAATCCTAACACCGGTGACTATAATTAATTCAATGTACCCATACTGTCATTAGCATTCACCGATAATTCGATTGTTTATTTATTTGTATAATATAGACAACTGAGGATATACCACACTGATAAAGAAATAAAGTCTTGGACAGGAATAAGTGAGTCAGAATGGTATATGATGAGAGATACAGTTCACATGGAAAGATGTCCTTCAGTTAAGTTAAATCCTCTCAAATAAATGTTACATTAAACCACAACTAGATGAGCACTGGATTGTGTTTGAAGCCATCTTTTAAATTAGTAAAAACATCAAGCAGTTCATTATAATTACTGTCACTTATCACGTGTTAATTCGCAAGTTAACTTAAACTAGAAAATTATCATCAGCCAAAATACTAGTGAAACACTATCTCTTCAAGTTTACTCAAATTTCAAAGTAAACACTCAGTTTGATGTATTAAATCTCATCATTTCTATTTATTGTGACTTAAAAAGTAATGAAGGCACATAATACTACTTTAACTAAGTAATATATTACAACTATCACTATCTTACTACTGTTTTTCTATTTCTATATTTTATAGGTTAGCAGCTGTCAAAAGAACTGGCCAGCTAATAACTCACAAACCTCGAGTAACAACATGTCGAAGCAACAAGATGATGAGAATTCCAATACAAATGTAATGCGTTCTCATTCACCTGTGAATAATACGTTGGTGAATAGTCACTAACTTATATTCGTCTAAAAAAAATATCTATCCATTCTATTATTGTCTACGAGCAACTCAGTTTATTTCTCACTAAACTTGCTTATTCTCACCTGATGAAGTACTGTGTTATAAACTGAATTGCATCAAATCTTTGGGTTATTTCTCACTACTTTTTATTCATGTGTGTGTGAAATACTGCTTCTTTGTAATAATTACTACTGTTTCGGTTCTTTTATTCCTTTTAATTTTTTTTTTGTATCTTGGTCTAATATGAATCATTTTTTGTGATTGCTTTAATTTTAGTCAATAACTCTTTGTTGGACTTTCATACAAAATTGAGTAAAGAGAATGAGTTAAGTTTGGTCTGTGTGTCACGTTTTCGATTCGATCAATTAAGTAAATTCTAGTTTACTCTCTTTTGACTTACAAAAAGTTTAAAAACATTTAGTCGCCTTGATTGATTTAGTTAATATAATCAGAATGACAAATTCCTCATAAAAGGTTTAAATCTAGAAAAAAAATTAATATTCGTTGACCACCCTGAACGTTTTTTGATACCGCACGATATATATAAAGTACTGATTAAGGCAAGTAGTTAAATAAAATTAAAGTTTAACTCGAATAAATAAATTACAACAATCTAAACAATTTAGTGGCCGTGGTTTTTATACTGAACTGAAATCAGAGATATAGTAATCCTAGCATTCTGAGTTTGAAAGTCTGGTTACAACCGAGTATATTGAACTGACGGAAGATACTAACAAGTGTTACAGACTCAAAGTCTGATATGAATATTTTAACAATCATATTGAATTCTCTTGAATGCCGTATTTTATTTTCATACGATAAAAATAATACTCATTCATAAGAGGACATAGTTTCAACTTAGTTAAAGCTTCCAACATATACAAAGTATTGGAATATTATGTCTGTTAGTCAGTGAGTTATAACGTAGAACTTCGTGTGCACGTACATCAGTCCAAGTTGCCATACCACATTAGCACAGAGACTCAGTCAATTCAAATCCCATAGTAGTAGAAGTATTATCAATAATCGGAGAGATAAAGGTTCTAAGATAGTATTCAAGAAGAATAATCTAGTGAACTAAACCTAGAAAGGGAAAAACGAAAAAGATGAATTCAGATGTTTAGGATTTGAGAGAACGCAATGAATGAATGCACCTGCGCCATTGCAAACGGTTCGAAGCCATGTCGTTCAAGGTCTCTAATGTAAAGAATTTTAGTAACCACAGCATTCTGCGGACCAATGGTAAATCTACATGAGTATACATTTTAGGGATTTTGTGCAATAGTAAAAGGCCAAGTTTTAAAACGAAAAATTAAGTCTATTAGACGTCCCTGACAGTGTTACTTGTTTTGAAATTTTGTTAACAATCAGTGGTTTTCAAGGTGACTTGTTCTAACTTGTTAGTCATTGTAAAACAGGATTCTGCTTCACGAATTAATCTTATTACGGCTGTTGTATGAAATTAAATTCTTTATGAATGAGTTTATTCAAATATAACCTCTTTCGTAGCTAAAGCCATACTTTAATGAAGAAATAGATTTTCGTTATTGGCTTTGTACGCTACATGAAAGCCAGTAGTCAATTTGATTCGATCAACAGTGAAGAAAAAGTATTACAGACCATTATCTTCGTCTAGCTGATGTTTGCACAACCCATTCACAGAAGTGATACAACTTTGGAGTTGAGAATAAATCTATGTACACCGTTTATAAAAATTTACTTACCGGATACCTGGAGCATATTTCCCGTGTCAGTTGCTGCATTCAAAATTCATTGCTCTAGAGTTCGCTAAGCTATTATTGTTTATAATTACAAGAAAACTTGAGTTGAATTATTTTTTGTTTTTATATTCATCTTGAAACACTGATTTCATTAGACGAAAATTTCTGGGAAAATTCCCTGCTCTATGATGCTGTTCTCGCAATTGTATGATGAAGTAAATATGTGTTCATACATTAAACAATGTTGATCACCACTCACTACAACTTATACAAATCTAAATGTAAATAAATACAAAAGCTAATGTATTCATATGTGAATTTGATTTGTTTCAGGGTCGAAATAAATCAATATGATGATTTTTGCATTCATCGGATTACCGTATTGAGCAAGCATTCAGCACACATAAAAGTGACAAACAATAAAATATATACAAGCCTATATAACACCATCGAAGTTACCACAATATTTGACAGCATTGAATTAAAGCTCGTTCAGTGATTGTTCCCTGAATTAGTGAATAGTCATTATAAATGTACATGTGGATTAACCATTTGAATCAACGACAATAGACTTTATTCACATGACATCCAATTGTTAGAGATGATCAATTGTTTTCTTTATTCGTTTAAATCGATATTATCAATTTTACTTCAAATACCATAAATTGTCTGAATCGACTACTCTAATGATTTAGTGGTATATTTATTACCTTCCTTTAAAATTAAGAAAATATTCGGAACTTCGGGTTCAAAATGTTGCTTGTATTAACTTCTTAGTTTAACATTTCAGAATGATTTTGTTTCTTTCAGTTATAATGAGGGAGGGAATGATTGTATTAGATTAGAAATGGTTAGTGAATGGAAAAATACTATTATAGTCGTTTGAAGCTTATCTAAGACTGTTCATTATGAAAGTTGTTAACTGTCATTGTGCTAGTTAGACATTTATTCTGCTATGGAAGGTGGATAATATCTGAAGAACATAGGTACTTAATAAGAAATACCTTCAAAACAATTGTCATATGTGGCATTATTAGCTATTAGACAGAACTAAAGTCGGTTATGTATAACAAGTCACTTTGCTGAAATAGACTGAACAATCTGTAGCAGATGTCAACTATGCTCAACATCTTCATTTGCTTGCTATTTTGCCTGGGACTCAGCTAATTATTTATTTACAGGTGATGCCAAATATATAGAACCCTCGTTCCTAATAACTTTCTACCAATTTTTACTCAATATAATATTGAAGAACAGATTCCGTTATCGCAAACTGCGTACAGCTTTCCTGAAATTTTGATTTAATCAGAGTGATGATGTTCTCGTCTGCTGTACCACTAGCGAAGACAAAATTCAATTATAGTTGGAAAGTTTGCCTACTTTTAAATAAGTTAGTAGCATAAAATAAAATAACTTGATTTAAACAGAATAGTTTATTGTGAAACATTTCGAACTATCAGGTCCCAACAAGCATCGATTGTCTCTCAAACTACCAGAAAGAACGAGTATGAACATGTTATTGCCATAAAACCACGTTTATTGAGCGTTCAAATGTTTCCTTACTTATAAAAACCATACACAACCATTTATGTTGACTACATTAGCTGAATGTCAAAAAATAAAAACATGTACAAATTAAAAAAGAACTTTGTCTGTAACTTCATTTCAACAATTTTTTATTCTTTGTTCTTACTAGATAAAAGTAGTGATAGATATTGATGTAAAAGAAAAGTCTCTCCATATACATACAAGTAACAAATTATTTGAGCTCAGTTAAAATGTTTTACTATTGATTTTATTCAATTGAATTCACGTTAGACTTAATGTTACATATTCAAGTCACAGACTACAAATAGACTAGATTTGTATGCTAGAGTTTCGATTTTTGTATATTCAATAGTATTTATGGTAAAACTTATCGTTATTTCCTAGTTCTCAATAGCTTTAATTGAAGCCGCCCACCAGTTTTCACCAACCAACTCTGTCCTGAGCTTGCCTTCATAATTCTGTCCAATTTTTTTTTCTTTCTTTTAATATCTTTCTCTATTACTCCGAGTAATATGTTTCTTGGCCCTCCTCCTATCATTTTACCTTGAGGGTTCCAAGTCAGACTTGTCTTGTTAGGCAGCTGGGTGCTTTTTGCAATATGTGTCCTATCCACGTCCACCACTTCTTCCTGATTTCCTCTTCCGCTGGAATCTGGTTTGTTCTCTCCCTAAGTAGGTTGGTGCTGACGATGTCTGGCCAACGAATTCTCAGTGTTTTGAGTAGATAGCTGTCAATAAACACTTGTATCTCCTGGATGATGGCTTTCTTAGTTCTTCAAGTTTCCGCTCCATAAAGGGAAACTGTCTTGACGTTTGTATTGCAGCTTAGTCCATCATAAGAACTCCGTATGATGTTGACCATCTTCTCAGGCACGCCGTAATGTCGAAGAAGTCTCCATAGTGTTTTCCTGTCCACGTTATCGAATGGTTTCTTGTAGTCAATGAAGTTGATGTAGAATGATGAGTTCCACTCAATTGACTATTGCACAATGATTCTTAATGTTGCAATTTGATCAGTACACGATCGATCCTTACGAAATCCGGCCTGTTGATCTCGAAGTTGGGCGTCTACGAAGTCCTTCATTCTGTTTAACAACATTCTGTTGAAGACTTTGTCTGGTACTGAGAGGAGTGATGCCTTTGTAGTTCTTACACATGCTGAGATTGCCTTTTGTTAGTACTATGATTGGATATCCTTCTTTCCAATCTGATGAAACTTGTTCCTCATCCCAAATCTCGTTGAAGAGAATGTGAAATATTTATGTAGTTGCTTCCACATCTGTTTTCATTGCCTCTGCTGAGATGTTGTCTGATCCTGCTACTTTGATGCTCTTGATTTGTCTGATGGCCATACTGGTCTCTTAAGTTGTTGGTGCGCCAACATCGATTAGGAGGTCCGCAGATACTGCTTCGATGTTGAGTGTTCAGCGGAGCTGACCGATTCAAGAGTTTCTGAAAGTGCTCTACTCACCTGTTTCGCTGTTATTTAGTGTTGCTGATTACCTTGTCTTCCAGGCTTTTCACTGGTCGTTCTGGTTTACGATAGTTTCCAGGGAGCTCCTTTGTTGCATTATACAGTTGTCTCAAGTTTCCGTCTCTTGCAGCCTTTTCTGCCGTCGTTGCTAGATCTTCCACATATTTTCGTTTGTCGACTCTGATGCTCCTCCTCACTTTCTTGTTTGTTCCTGCGTATGCAGCTTCTGCGGTAACTTTCTCCGCTCTTGTTCGGCTGATGTTGATTGCTGCCTTCTTGTTCCTCCTTTCTTCAATTTTTGCAAGAGTATCAACAGAGATCCATTCCTTGTGATGGTACTTCTTGTGTCCCAGAACTTCGTGACATGTTGGAGTGATTGTCTCCTTGATCTCCTTCCAATTGTTCTCCATGGTTGTTTCTCCTTCATTGAATATATCTTGCAATGCTTGGAACTTATTGCTGAGAGCTATCTTGAATTCGTTGAGTTTTACGGTATCGCGAAGAAAATCTGTATTATACTTCCGTGATTTTGTCCACCCTGCTGGTAACACATCATTTTTATATGAACACTAACTGCCTTTCGGTAATCAATAAATTGTACCGTTTCCAAGAGTGATAAATTCTTCAGTTTCTGTTTTTTGATATTCAGCTGAATTATTTATCTTTGTCTTAAGACGGAATTATGTTCATTCAAAGTAAAAAAAAACTCA